CCACCAATGCCAATTCGAACGAAGCGTTGAAATTGATGAAAACAGGATTTTATTGTTTATCATGCTGCCAGTCATATAATCAGAAAACCTATGATCTTTTCGATTGGCTGCTATTCGAGCCTCTGCGATACTTGATTAGTAGTGCATCGCTGCCAAGGGAAGAAGCGATTAAATCATATCAGTATGTTTGCCAGCGAAATTTCAAGGGCAACGTCACACCGGCTTGAATTTAATTACTATAAAAAACTTATTCAATAAATTCAATATTCAAACTTATTCAATTAAATACTTATATACAGTCAAAATAGACTAAGATCGATCGTCGTGATCACTAATAAGCTTGCAAGCAAGATGCGCAGCGATCCTGCACTTCTTGATGATAGATCACCTGAAGGGAAAGCCAAAGCTTAGTATATTTTTGACCTCCCGCCTCCACCCGTTTAGATCAAACGCCTTGTTGGTACGAGCTTCATGACTTGAATTCGAGCAGGTGTAAATTATCCTTGCCAGCAGGATGGAAAAGTGAAGACAAACTGAAAGCTACCACTTATATTCCTAAATATTACAGAACTTTGTTCACTTGGAAAGCAATATGATCATGGAACTAGTTGTGCCAGGGAATCACCTGTATGCCTGAAAATCGCCGGAATGTACATGAAACAGCTGGAATAAATGGTACTGGGAGTAGCAGCGCTTCGATAGAGATATATTACAGGTGATCTTCCATTTCCAGACGTCCTGGCGTTTAAGGACGGTGATCCGCTGTGAACGACCGCCTGCACGAAACCTCTTCATATTATAAGGTTCATTAGCTGCATATTCCACACATCTGTATCTGTGAAAGCTGAACTTTAACAGACCCTGTGCGTAAGATATTTGTGAATATGCTCAAACCACATTATTTTACAAGAGCAGAGCAAAAAAATTCCTCAACAAGCTAGGTGAAAGCAGCTGTGTGGAACCTTTCATTCCATAGCAGTTCCAAAAAGTAACCAGAAATCGAACAAAATCAGTCATATCCTAACCACGCACCTCCTGGACCACTTCGATAGCAGCCCCCTGTTGGCGAGTCTACGAAAAGCATCCGCATGAAAAGACACAACGGTCTACGTACAAATACGGCCTTAGCACAGTTGGTAGTTTCTCGCAGAAGCAGGCAATCTTCTCTATAAAACAACAATTCTGCCAGAACAAAAAATCTCTGGAATGGTGCATCGCCTCAGTTTTACTTCGGGCGACACCTGCCTCAGAAGAAATGGCCAGATACTCAAGAATAGAATCCTGGAAGATATAGCCTGCATACACAGGGAAGACTGTAATTTCGGCTGTGACAGCGCATAGCATCATAAAGAACCATTTCATTTAGTGATAATTTAGCAAAATACTTCGTGAAGTGGGA